TTTGAAGGTTTGAAGGTTTAAAGGTTGGAAGGTTTGAAGTTTATGAGTTATTCGAAGGTTTGAAGGTTTGATTGTTTGAAGGTTTGAAGGTTTGATTGTTTGAAGGTTGGAAGGTTTAAGAGATTAAGTGAATCAGTGTTTTGATAAATGTAAGACTAAATAGGTCATACTGAATTTGAATTAACTAAGGTTGTAACCTCTAAGGCTCCTCCCATCACGTCCAATAGTGTTACCAAGGCTGTCACCTAGCCTGCGCCTACTCTGCAAACCATGCCACCTCTTATTCGCCAATGGGGATGGCGACACCTTTCATTTTTGTACGCTTTCACCAAGTCCAATGGCGCCTCCCTTCACGTCCAATAATGTTACATGCATTCAGGGATGCCTTCTCCAAGGCTACCACCTAGCCTGCGCCTACTCTGCACCTACACTGTAACCTGTAAGTATCCTCCCATCACCTCCAATAGTGTTACATGCATTCAGGCATGCCTTCTCCAAGGCTGTCACATAGCCTGCGCCTACTCTGCAAACCATGCCACCTCTTATTCGCCAATGGAGATGGCGACACCTTTCATTTTTGTACTCTTTCGCCAAGTCCAATGGCGCCTCCCTTCATGTCTAATCATGTTACATGCATGCAGAGATGCCTTCTCCAAGGCTTCCACCTAGCCTGCGCCTACACTGCAAGAGTGACACTTATCATGCATGCATGCACCAGCTACTACCTCACTTACTCTATGGAATTTTTTTGCCTATAAATACAGAGCATAACATACTTCTCTCGCACCCACAATCGTCTCACTCTCTGCTACAAACTCTTTCATAATCTCTTACAATTTCTAAGTCTTTCATAATCTCAGGCATTTTCAACAATGACTCTTCTCACAATGGGCGATTCTCACAGAGGCACAAGGGACAACATTGCAACATTTGTAAGTTTCTTTTATAGTTATACATTTTTTATACTTCTGGTAATGCTTTATTCATCTTACTTAATCTTACACCTTTTACATTATTAACTCAGGATACCAAAAAATTCAGAATCCGGTCTCACAACTACCTTGCTCCCGACCCATTTATCATACCATATCTGGAATACGCAGGTTTCAGACATGTTATAAAGATCTCCAACTGCACAATTGATTCAAAGTTCATACTTGCAATGTTGGAAAGGTTGAGACCAGAGACCCATACATTTCACCTACTAATAGGTGAATGTACTGTCACACTAGAGGATGTGTACATGTTACTGGGTCTCCCTGTCGAGGGTAAGGCCGTTAACGGGTCGGTTCAACAACCCAATTCTCCGTGTGAAGAATTGTTGGGCAGGGATATGGTTGAAGGTGGTGGTGCGAGAGGTCAGGGTATACTACTAACTGAGCTTAAAAATCATTATGCAAATTTGGAATTAAACAAAAATTCCTCCGAGCAAGACAGGGTAATAAAAGCTAGAACTTATCTAATGATACTATTTGGAACCTTTTTATTTCCCGAAAGTACGGGAAATAGTGTAAATTTTATGTATTTAAATTTACTTAGAGACTTCGAAAAAACTAGAAAGTATAGTTGGGGTTCTACTGTTTTAGCCCACCTATACAGTTCCTTGTGAAAAATGCAATCAAGGAAAGATGTACATTTTATGGCTGTGCTTTTTTACTTCAAGCCCGAGGTTGGTGGAGGATGGAGTCCCTAAACCCCGTCAACAACAACACTTTCATTTTCCCGTACGCGACAAAGTCATCAAGTTATATCATTTATTACTATTCATCTCTTCACCAAAGATATGATAAAAATAAAATATTTTTCATTTCCTTTAGGTATTGCGTGAGGGGTATGGATTACGGCAAGAATCCAAGATTCAATATCGCACTATACCGCAATCTATTGGATCACCTAGGCCCGGATGATATACGTCGTACCTTTCAACTTTTCAACTTTTAAATTATTTATATATTACGTTTTCATTAACCTGATTTAACTTTATGCGCAGTTTGTCTAGAGACCATATTTGGGTTTGGGCCATGAACCAAACCCCGAGGATGCAGCAATTTGGAGCGCCAAGACTGCAATCATACGGTTTAATGTTATGGAGATGCACCACAACGACCGTGTGAAGATGCAGTTCAGAATGCATCAAGAGATACCCAGTGATCCGACTTGTTTGTCCCCGTGGCATCTCAAAAGGGTCGACGCCCAATGGGGTCTTACCAACAGGAAAGACTTTGCTCCATAATGGTGTAAGATGTGGCAGAGGCGTCGCCGACATGTCTTGCAATTCCCGGTTTTCCTCAATCATGGTAATATGCGACACATGGATCGATATTTATCTTGGTACAAGTCGGTTAGTAACCCTGAAATGCACGTGTCTCATCCAAGGTATTTGGTTGACCTAGAAACATAATGGGCACAATCCTCATTTCCCCAACAACAAACCCAACACACATTAACCTCCCACCAACCCCCAGACGAAACAGAACCACAAACACCCAACCACAATCGCCACCACAATACAATTACACCCAAATGCCCCACAACCAACAACAATCACCACCTCAGTACCAATACCCCCATATGCCTCACACCCAACCGCAACTCCAATCACAATACCAACACACCCGTATACCCCACACACAATTTCAGTCTTCTATATATCCCAATATGGACCCCTCAACATCCAACCTTAGCCATGATCTGGGAATGTCGGAAGATTATGAACCAACCGACCCAACTTACCATCAACCACAGTATCACCAAACCACCCAACATCCTCAATACCAAACACCCCAAGATCCATTTCCTTTCTACCCCCCGTACTCAGACGATCAATGTACAGACCAACCATGGAACCCCACCCACCGCCAACACGACCAAACTTTGAGGGTATTGGTAACCGACTGTACCAAAGCGAATCTTCTAGATATGGAGATCTGGCTGATTTCATGGATCCGGAACGCATTGACTTCGTTGGGCCATTGACCCTGCCACAGCAGGAAACGCGACGACACCCAACACGGGAAAGGCGAGGACGGGGATGCGGAACCGGGGGTCATTACCAGATTCCGTGGGACCACTGATTAATCCGTTTTTTTATTTAATCTGTTTTTTTTATGTAATACTTATGGGTGTAATCATTTTTTGTAAATAAAAAGTCAATTTTGTTGATCCTATATCGAATACGTAACGCACCGGATTGGAAAAAACGCAAAAATTGCCCTAGTAAATGCACTAAGGTGTCATCTCACTTGGCTTAGGGTAAGCCTTAAGCACCTAGGTGCCAAGTGAGATGGCGCCTCCCCTTAAAAAGTAGGTGTAGGCGCCAAGTGAGATGAATTCTCCTTTGGAGAGTCATCTGAAACATGGTTATTTGCAATTTTTTTTTAATACCTGGTTATTCCAAAAAAAAATTCTTATTAGTTATCATTTATTTTGGAAAAGATTTGTTAATATTTATTTATTTTTTTGTTAATATATATCCTTTTATTGAAGAGATTTAAAGATTTGTAGATTTGTAATTATTTATTCATTTATTTTGAAGAAGATTTGTGAATATATATATATATATATATATATATATATATATATATATATATATATATATATATATATATATATATATATATATATATATATATATATATATATATATATATATATATATATATATATATATATATATATATATATATATATATATATATATATATATATATATATATATATATATATATATATATATATATATATATATCCATGTATGGAAGAGATTTAATGATTTGTAGATTTGTAATTATTTATTTATATATTTAATTTTTGTTAATTTGTTAATGTAAGATTAGAATATTTGTTAATATATATTTATTTTTTTGTTAAGAGATTAGAAGATCAAAATATATTGTTTATATCAATATTATCGAGTCACTATTTTAAGTATTGCTTTGCTGTTCTGCTAGATCACTAAAAGTTAACATTTTTTTTTAAAGATTTAACGGAAATGATTAAGTTGGATAACATAACTCTTTTTAAAAGACTAAATTATAATATTTATTAGATAAGAGACTAATATAAAACTTGAAATTAAATTAAGGAACTTTGACACTAATTAAACCAAAAAATAATTATATAATTATAAAATGTGTAGTTATAAAAAAAATTTACCACCATTTAAAATATTATAATATATATTTTAGTTATATATTGAAATACAAATAATTGAAAAAATAAAAATTTATATATTAATGTTATATATTAATTAATTATACAGACACGATATATAATTTTAATGCAAATATAATAACATGTAATAAATGTAGCCTAGTATTAACTTGTCTTATATCTAATTAAAAGGTTTTGGGTTTGAACTATGGTGGGGCAAATGATTATTTTTTTTACTTTTACAAACTGAAACAATATAATATTAATATAAATGTTAAGTATAAAAAAAATAAAACACTGTCATCATGACAGGTATGACAACAAGTATGTCCAGTTAGCAAACAAAACAAAATATATAACAACAAGGATGCCCGAAAATCTAATAGAGGAAATTTATGTTTTTATAAGGGAGAATCTAAAAAAGAATATCTAACAGGGAGTAAAATAAAACTCACTCAAATGATAGGAAATAATATATATTTAACCCTTTATTTTTTGTATTTTAATTTATATAACTACTCTATTATATATTATTAATAAAATTATTTTATTAAATAAAACTCATTTTATTGTTGAAATTAATATAATTAATTATTATCTTAAAAAATGTGAAAATTCTAAAGAGAACAACTATTATGAGATGGAGTAAAATCTAAGTTTTAGCTAATAAATATAAAAGGACATTAAAAAAAATTAATTAACACCTGTAAACTAGTTTATTGTGTTTATCAATCAGAGGCAAAATTGTCAAGAGTTGATTCTTATCATTATATAAGAGAAGGTATAGAACGCAAGAACAGCACAACCTTAAGAACCATTCTACACTTAAGTACCATCTGATAAGAAACATGGTGTTGACAGTAGTTTCCTACACACAAAAACCTCACGTAGTTTGTGTTCCATTCCCAGCACAAGGTCATGTAAACCCTTTCATGCAACTAGCCAAAATCCTCAGAAGCATTGGCTTCCACATAACCTTTGTAAACAATGAGTTCAACCACAGACGTTTGATTAGTTCTCTTGGTGACGACTTCGTGAAAGGCGAACCGGACTTTCAGTTCGAAACCATACCTGATGGTTTGCCAGAATCTGATAAAGATTCAACACAAAGCATTGCTGCATTGTGTGATGGAACTAGAAAACATTGTTATGCTCCATTGAAAGAGCTTGTTAAGAAACTTAATAATACTCCACATGTTCCTCAAGTTACTTCCATTATGTATGATGGACTTATGGGCTTTGCTAGAAAAGTTGCGAAAGATTTGGGTCTTGCAGATCAACAGTTTTGGACTGCATCTGCTTGTGGATTGTTGGGTTATTTGCAGTTTGATGAGCTTGTCGAAAGAAATATTCTTCCATACAAAGGTTATAATAATTTCATTTTCTAAACAATTTGATTTTATATATTCAGACATAGTCAAGTTAACTAGTTCATGGAATTTTATTTTCAAACTATTTTAGGAAATAATCTAACAACAGAAAAAACCTCAAAGAGACTTTTTCATGACAAAATTAGAAAAGGAATGACAAATCAGTCAACTAAACTAAATTCTAAATGATAATAAAAATCTGATTTCTTGATTTAAATCATTGGACAAACTAAAAATCTTCCAACAAAAATCACACTTCTTGATTTCCTAAATGATGATAAAGTATGGAGGCTAATCATTCATGCAATAATGTATGGAGGCTAATCAAATTTCCAATTATGTGTGTTTATAGACTTATAGAAGACCAAGACTTTTTACTTTTAAAAAAAAGACAAATAGAATATATATATATATATAAAAGAAGAAGAAGAAGAAAAATACCAGGTTAAGTATTATGAAAAATATTTATAGGTCTATTACATTAATCTATAGATATAAATATGATTAATAATTTTTAGGTATAAATATGCTTTAATTCTTCAAAATTTATTTTTTTATATATTTTCTAAAACTATTAATTTATAAATATCTACAATTTGTGTATATTAATGCATAAATATAAATATTTGTTAAGATTCAACCTTAAACCAATAACTTACACTCATTTAACAAAATTAACACATATCAGTTGAGTTATTAAGTTGTTCCATCTTTTATAGTTTATTTATTTTTTTCTTAGTCTTTGTAATCTTTGGTTAAGTAGCCGCAAATAGGAATATATCACTTTTAATTTAAGTTTGGGTCCTTAATTATTTTTTAATATTTAGTATCATAATTATTTTGAAAGATTAAAATCAGATATTTTATATGTAAATGCATTAATTTCAATATGAATTAATCTTTTTAGAGATTGAAATAAAATAATAAGAAAAAAAAACAGAAACTAGTGCTTTATTTGCAAAGACTAAAAAATAAAAATTTTAGAGGGTTAAAAACAAAAAAGTTACATTTAAAACTATTATTAGTATTATTTAATTATTTTTTTTAAAATTATTGATTTATAAACATCTACAACTTATTTAAATTAATACATAAATATAAACAAATATTGTTTTTTATGGATTGACATCAATTTACACTCCTTTAACTAGAAAATATTATTACTTATCATTAAATTATATATTTGTTGATTATTTCAATAATTTAAGCGTTAATCATATTAATATTTTTTGTTTATTTAAATATATTATTATAAAATATAATTTAAATATGATATCAGATAAAATTGGATATATAAATTTCATCTTAAATATTAAAAGAATATTTAATGTTATTGATTTTTTAATCCGTTTGTCTATTTCAAGATAAATAAAATTACTTATTCAAAATTATTATTTTGAAATATTCTTTTAATTAAACTAACATGTTATATCTAATTTTCAAAAATGAGAGTTACATGCCTTAAAATAATGTCTATGACAAATCTAGATGAGATCTAAGTTTAAAACTTTTTTACTATCTCGAGTCTTACAAATATTAGTCTATTCTTCTCATTTTAACTTATTCACAAAAATAATTATATCACCATCTGTTTCACAATATATATTCTAGAAAAAATGAAATTTGAATGTTTATCATTTTTAATAATATATTTTAAGAAAACAATACATTAATTACTTTTGTCTCTATTTTTTATTTGATACTTTGTAGACGTATCAATAAAAATTAATAGTGCAATTGATAAGTATATTTTAGGCTTAATTTATTCTGGAATTCCTTAATTTAATTAAAAATTTCAGTTTAGTCTCTTATCTAATAAATATTATATTTAAATTCTTCAAAAATATTTTCATTAGTCAATTTGACACTCTCCGTTAACTTTTAACTTTAAATAAATTAGGTGAAACAATATTATTAATTAGTCTTTATCATAGAATTCATTCATATTTTTAAAATTAGCCTTTTGATTATTTTTAACAAGATCCACACCTTTAGATTTTGATGATCTATTCATTATAACAATACATCATCAACACATAATAATTTTTATGTATCTTCATCTTCTTCTTCTCTTCTTCTTCACCACCTTCATCACCATCTTCATCATCATCAAAATTCCAGAAAATTTCAAAAAAATAAAATTCACTTCTAATTAATATTTTTAAAATAATAACAACCAAACAAATCTATCCACAATCAAAATATAAATAAAAAATAAACTTGACATATTAACACCAAATCCCCAACATTCAAACAATAAGAAACCTAAAAAAAATCTATTTTTCCTGTAATTAATGATTCTAAACACATTTAGAATAAAAACAATTATACATTTACTAATAGAACTTCAAGAGATTAAGTTTTATATTTATTTTGTTTGGTAAAGCATGGCCAACAACTATAAATATATTCTTTAACATTCACACTTTTTCTTTTTCTCTCGATATGATCTCCATTTCCACACAATTTTAATCTCAATTATATGTCATTCAAAGAAACTATATAAATATCAACCAACTAATCTATCATAAATTCTTCTAATTTAGACTCAATTCCAAATCTCTCAACAACACAAAAAAAAACCCTCTCACGCAAAAATCTATTCCTATGAAATTTTTTAGAACTCCCTTAAAACCCAAAAACTCTATTGTGGATTTAGATAATAATATCATTGGAAAAATGGATTGCTATTGTGTAATAAATTGATCTATGTCAAGTTGTTGTTGGATCTAAATGGAAATGTTTCAACAGGGTTTATCATTTATCATTATGTAACTAGATCTGTTGTGGTTTTATTTATTTTATCATTTGTTTTATTTATTTATTTTTGTTGTGGATATATTAGTCTGTTTTTTATTATTTTAACAAAATTAATTAAAAGTGTAAATTTCTTTAAATTTTTTCTATAACTTTATGGAATTTTGATAAAGATGATGAAGATGGTGATGAAGATGATAAACATAAAAAGAGGAAGAAGATGAAGATACATAAATATTATTGAATGTTGATGGTGTATTATAAGAATGAATAGGTCATCAAAATCTAAAGGTGTGAAACTTGTTAAAAATAATTAAATGGCTAATATTAAAAATATTAATGAAGTCTATGGTGAACACTCAATAATATTGTTTCACCTAATCTATTTAAAGTTAAAAGTTAACGGAGATGGTCAAATTGGTTAACAGAAATATTTTTGAGGGATTTAAGTGTAATATTTATTAGATAAAAGATTAAACTGAAATCTGAGACAAATGAATTAAGTCTATATTTTATATATAATTATTAAGTTGGTGTTTTTTTTCTTCAGATGAAAGCTATATCACTGATGGATCATTGGACCAAAACCTAGAATGGATCGAAGGAATGAAAGACATCCGAATGAGAGATCTTCCAAGTTTCGTTAGAACAACAACCTTAGACGATATCAGTTTCACTTGCTTTGGATTCGAATCTCAAACATGTATGAAACTCTCATCCTCAGTCATAATCAACACAGTCCATGAGCTAGAAAGCGAAGTCCTTGATTATCTCACAACCATAAATCCCAACATATACAACATAGGTCCACTTCAGTTTCTAGGTAACCATTTTCCTGACAGAGAAAACGGTTTCAAATTCCATGGTTCAAATCTTTGGAAAAACGATGTAACATGTTTCAAATGGTTAGACCAATGGGAACCTGACTCAGTCATCTATGTGAACTATGGAAGTATAGCTGTTATGAGTGAGGAACACTTGAATGAGTTTGCATGGGGTTTAGCAAACAGTAAGTTACCGTTTTTATGGATTAAAAGACCTGATTTGGTAAAAGGAAAAGGAAAATCATCACCATTGCCACAGGATTTTCTGGATGAGGTTAAGGATAGAGGTTACATAACAAGTTGGTGTCCTCAAAGTGAGGTGCTAGGTCATTCATCGGTCGGTGCATTTTTGACTCATTGCGGTTGGAATTCGTCTCTTGAGAGTATATGTGAAGGTAAGCCTATGATTGGTTGGCCTTTCTTCGCGGAGCAACAGACGAATTGTAGGTTTATTTGCAACACTTGGGGGATTGGGATGGATATTAAGGATGATGTGAAGAGAGAAGAGGTGACTGAGCTTGTGGTGGAGATGATAAAGGGTGAAAAGGGGAAGGAAATGAGAGAGAAATGTCAAGAATGGAAGAGGAAGGTGGTTGAAGCTGCTGATACAGGAGGTTCTTCTTACAATGATTTCAATAGGTTGCTCAAGGAGGTTTATCATTATGATGTTGTTTGAGATTTCTATCATCATCTTCAATGATAAGGTTGTGATATACTGATATGTTTATATATATATATGTTGAATTTGTAATTTCTATTTTTATGTTGTTTGGGGTCATTTTAGAGGTTAAATAATTGGCTCTAATTTGCCACTTTATGTGTCTTCTACAAAGATTCTGCATCTCTATGTAGATGTTATGTTTGTATGTATGTATGTATTTGATGATTTGGTAAAAAAATAAATGATAAGATTTTATTATTTAATTGTTGATTGTTTAATAAATTATTTATTCAAAAAAATTACTTTGGTAAAAATCATGCAACTTGGTACTTGTTGTTCTCACTAATTTTGTAAGCCTGCTTGCTACTTGTATACATGTGTCCACATATATCACTATTTTGTCCGACTTTAATTTGGTATTTGTCTTGTCAAAAAGAAAAAAAGGACTCTATTTTGGCTTTTTCTCTTTGAAAGAATGGATATATCGAGAATTTATAATGGGCTCGCTTGGCTTTTGTGTTTTAAAGGAATGCATCATTGGCAATATGAGATGGAAAATTTGAATGGAAAGTATGAGATGGCTTTTGTGTTTCAATTTTTGTTTGGAATTTGAATGGAAAATTTACCAAGCAAAGCCAATATCAAATTATTAACAACAAAAAAGAAAAGAAAGTATAAATAGAAATTTTTTATTTTTAATGGGAAAAACAAGATTTATTAACAACAAAAAAGAAATAAATAAATAGAAAATGTTTAATTTTAATTTTAATGGGAAAAACAACATGACAATTAAATTTATTAAGACAAAATTCTTTCAATTCATCTATCAAAAAAATCTATCCGGTTCATCCATTACATAAAAATTAAGTTAATGGATTAGATAAAAATCCATCCATTTATATATATGGATTGATCCAATTCATCTAACATATTTGAATGATCTAATAGATTATTTTCATCATATACATTAAATCCATTAAATTATTATTTTTTTAAATAATAAAAAAAATTATATTTTTTAAAAATAAAATATTATTTTTTATAAAATACAAAAATTGATTTAAAAAAAGAACAACAGAGTGATTTTTTCTGAAAATTTAAAAATGATATTTTTTTTTGAAAATACAAAATAAATCAATTTTTTCAAAATACATAAAATCAGTTTTCCCCAAAAACAAAAGAAAATCGGTTTTTTTGGTTGGATAAACAAAAAGTCGAATTTTTTACGAAATGCAAAAAATTAATTTTTTTTAAATACAATAAATATAGTTTATGCAAAAATACAGTAAATCGAATTTTTTGAGAAAATACAATAAATTGAGTTTTTTGTACGAAAATACATATAACCATTTTTTAAGGAAATACAATAAATTGAGTTTTTTTGTGAAAATACAGTAACCCGAGTTTTATGCGATAATATAGAAAATCAGGTTTTTTTTTACAGAAATACAGTAAATTGAGTTTTTATAAAAAAACTGTAAATTGAGTATTTGAGAAAATGCAGTAAATATAATTTTTTGCAGAAATAGAGTAAACTGAGTTTTTGGCAGGAATACAGAAAATTGTGTTTCTTATGGAAAACATTAAACCAAGTTTTTAAATAAAATACAGTAAATTGAGTTCTTTGCGAAAATACTGTATATCGAGGTTTTTGTGGAAATATAGTAAATCGAGTTTTTTTTATATAAATACAGTAAATTGAGTTTTTTTTACGAAAATAAAGTAAATCCAGCTTTTGTGAAAATATAGTAAATTGAGTTTTTTTTTACAAAATTATGGTAAGTCGAGTTTGTTTTGTAGAAATATAGTAAATTGAGTTTTTTCTTACGAAAATGCTGTAAATCGGTTTTTTTTACATAAATACAATAAATTAAGTTTTTGTTTTGAAGATACAGTAAATCAAGTTTTTTATTATGAAAATACAGTAAATTGAGTATTTTTATGGAAGTACAGTAAATCCAGTTTTTTTATAGAATACAGTAAATTTAGTTTTTTCTGAAAATACAGTAAATTGAGTTTTTGGCAGAAATACAATAAATCGAGTTTTTTAGTAGAAATACAGAAAATTAATTTTTTTTATAGATATACAGTCAACCGAGTTTTTGGCAGAAATACAATAAATCGTGTTTTTTAGAAATACAGAAAATCAAGTTTTTTTTACGAAAATACAGTAAATCAAGTTTTTGTAAGAAATACTGAAAATCGAGTTTTTAAATAAAATACCATAAATCGAGTTTTTTTGATAAAATACAATAAATCGTGTTTTTTGTGAAAATACAGTAAAATTGAGTTTTCGGCAGAAATATATAAAATCAAGTTTTTTTACAAAAATACAATAAATTGAGTTTTTTGTAGAAATGCGGTAAATCTAATTTTTTTAACGAAAATATAGTAAATAGTTTTTTTGCAGAAATACAATAAATCTTGCTTTTGCAAAAAATACCATAAATTTAATGTTTTTACGAAAATACAGTAAATTTAATGTTTTTACGAAAATATAGTAAAAGGAGTTTTTTTTGTAGAAATACAGTAAATTGAGTTGTTTTATAGAAATATAGTAAATCGAGTTTTTTGTGAAGATACACTAAATTGAGTTTTTTCAAAATTACAGTAAATCAAGTTTTTTTTTCACGAAAATACAACAAACCAAAGTTTTGGTGGAAATACAATAAATCGAGTTTTTTGCGTAAATACAGAAAATCAATTTTTTAATGAAAATACAGTAAATTTGGTTCTTTTTGATAAAATACTATAAATTGAGTTTTTGCAAAAATACTGTAAATCGAGTTTTTGCAAAAATATAGTAAATCGAGTTTTTGGGAGAAATATAGAAAATCAAGTTTTTTACGGAAATACCGTAAATCGAGTTTTTTGCTGAAATACAATAAATTGAGTTTTTGTAGAAATATAATAAATTGAGTTTTTTTTACAAAAATACAGTAACTCGAATTTGTTGTGGAAATACAATAATTCGAGTTTTTACAGAAATATAGTAAATAGAGTTTTAAGGAAATACAATAAATCATTTTTTTCAAAAATATAGAAAATTGATTTTTTATAGAAATACAAAATATCAATTTTTTTCGAAAATATAAAATTATCATGTTTTTCACAATTTTTTTTTAAACAATATATTTAAAGTAATTTTTTGAATGGATGGATAACCATCCATTAAAAATATTATTAATGTATGGATTGAAATGAATTTTTTATCTTTAATGGATAGATTGAATTAGATCTTTTTATAAAGTTCTAGTGGATTGTTAATGGATTAATAAATCATTTTAATCTATCTATTAATAATCGAAAACATATTCATTCAATTCATCCATGTTGTCCTCTCTAAAAAAAAAAAACTCAATAAAATAGAATAATAAAGTAATGAGTACATTGATAGTATAGTAGGGCCGAAGACTTCTTATAAGAAAACTAGTGTGTTTTGTTCTGGCCATTAAACTTGACGACACCTCTTATTTTAATGTTTTTTTTAATAACTTTTAGAAGAGTACACATTTAAGATCTGAGCCTTAACTATTAGGCGATACAACACCTCTTTCTTAATATTATTGTACTAAAAAGATTTTTTTTTTCGAATAACCAAGTATTAAAAATTTTTTTCTTCAAATAACCGCATTTCGGAAAAAATTACGCAAATAACCATGTTTCAGATTACTCCCCAAAGGAGGAGCCATCTCACTTGACGCCTACACCCATTATTTAAGGGGAGGCGTCATCTCACTTGGCGCCTATGTGCTTAGGGCATGCCCTAAGCCAAGTGAGATGGCGCCTATGTGTAATTCTAGGGAAAATTTTGCTTTTTTTTTTTTGGTCTGGTGCGTTGCGTATTGGATACAGGATCAACAAAATTGACTTTTTATTAAAAAAAATAATTACATCCAAATGTATTACATTAAAAAAACAGATAAAAAAACAGATAAAAAAATAGATAAAAAAAACAGAAAAAAATAGATAAATCAGTGATCCCCCGAAACCCGGTAATGACCCCCGGTTCCGCATCCCCGTCCTCGCCTTTCCCGTGCTGGGTGTCGCCGCGTTTCCTACTGTGGCAGGGTCGATGGCCCAACGAAGTCAATGCGTTCTGGATCCATAAAATCAGTCAGATCTCCATATCTAGAAGATCCACTTTGGTACAGTCGGTTACCCATACCCTCAAAGTTTGGTCGTGTTGGCGGTGGGTGGGGTTCCATAGTGGGTCTGTAGCATTGATCGTCTGAGTACGGTGGGTAGAAAGGAAATGGATCTTGGGGTGTTTGGTATTGAGGATGTTGGGTGGTTTGGTGATATTGTGGTTGATGGTAGGCTGGGCCGGTTTGTTCGTAATCTTCCGACATTCCCAGATCAGGGCTAAGGCTGGATGTTGAGGGGCCCATATTGGGATATACGGAAGACTGAAATTGTGTGTGGGGTATGCGGGTGTGTTGGTATTGTGATTGGTATTGTGGTTGGGTGTGAGGCATACGGGGTATTGGTACTGAGGTGGTGATTGTGGTTGGTTGTGGGGCATTTGAGTGTAATTGTGTTGTGGTGGGGACTGTGGTTGGGTGTTTGTGGTTCTGTTTCTTCTGGGGGGTTGGTGGGAGGTTGATGGGTTTTGGGTTTGTTGTTGGGGAAAACGAGGGTTGTGCCCATTGTGTGCGTGAGTTAACCAAGTACCTTGGATGAGACACGTGCATTTCAGGGTTACTAACTGACCTGTACCAAGATAAATATTGATCCGTGTGTCGCATATTACCATGATTAAGGAAAATCGGGAATTGCAAGACATATCGGTGACGCCTCTGCCACATCTTACACCATTCCGGAGCGAAGTCTTTCCAGTTGGTAAGACCCCACTGGGTGTCGACCCTTTTGAGATGCCATGGGGACAAACAAGTTGGATCACTTGGTATCTCTTGATGTATTTCGAACTGCATCTTCACACGGTCGTTGTGGTGCATCTCCATAACATTGAAACGAATGATTGTAGTCTTTGCGGTCCAAATTGATGCATCCTC